AACTTCAAAATGCATGTTTGGTACCAGTACTCCCTGCATGACTTGCCACCATATGTGATTTTCTGCTGCTGGTGTGTTCATGGGAGGTTCCCATGCCTAGTATGCAAGGCTTCTCTGATGTTAATTTGGTTGACGAAGGGTGGCAAGTATTCTTTGTTTGACAAACATCGACAATCCCTCCCTCCTGACCATCCATTCAGACTAGACATCAAGAACTTTACGAAAGATGTCGTAGTTAAAGACCCTGCAGCGCAGATGATGATAGGAGCCGCGGTTCGTGCTCAGTTAGACGCTCTCGAGGTCAATAAATAAGAAGGTGGTTTTGTGGGATATGGCGAGCAACATGCCTGGACTCAGAAGTCGTGCTTGTGGAACCTCCCCTATTTTGATGATCTTCTTCTTCCACATAATATTGATGTAATGCACACTGAAAAGAATATCACCGAGGCAATTTTTGGTACAATCATGGACATTCCTGATAAGACAAAGGATAACGTTAAGGCTAGAGTGGATCTAGCGAGGTTATGCGATAGACCAAAGCTGGACATGGTGCCTCCCAGAGCTGGCAAGTCGTGGAGAAAGCCTAAGGCCGATTTTGTCCTAATGAGGGCCCAAAGGAGGGAGGTACTAAAATGGTTCCAAACGTTAATGTTCCTTGATGGGTATGCAGTGAATCTAAAGAGGGAGAGAACTTAGCTACTATGCAAATCAATGGGCTAAAGAGTCATGATTATCACATATGGCTTGAGCGCCTACTTCCGGTGATGGTTCGAGGCTATGTCCCTGGGCATGTCTGGCAGGTGCTAGCGGAGTTGAGCAATTTCTTCCGCCAACTTTGTGCCAAGGAGTCATCTCGTACCGTGGTTGTAGAAATAGAAAGAATGGCGCCTGTGTTGCTCTATAAGTTGGAGAAGATTTTTCCACCCGGCTTCTTCAATCCGATGCAGCATATGATTCTGCACCTCCCATATGAAGCACGAATGGGGGGCCTATGCAGGGCCATTGGTGCTATTCAATTGAGAGATGTCAAAAGGTTCTTCAAACTAAATGTAAAAATAAATGTAAAATTGAAGCATCCATTGCAGAGGCATACATTCTGGAGGAGGTGTCAAACTTCACAACAAAATACTATGCTGACAACCTTCCTAGCGTACATAATCCACCCCCTCGTTACAATGCCGACGAAGATGAATCGAGCCTTAGCATTTTCCGAGAGCAACTCGGAAGTGCAAGTGGTGCGACCCACAAGACCTTGAAACATGAAGAGTGGTGCACTATCATGCTGTATGTGATGACCAACCTATCCGAAGTGGAGCCATACATGCTTTAAGTTCTCAACAAACTTGTTCTCAAGTAGTCACTATTCTGTGTCCAACTCCCATGTTTCTCGTTGGTAAAGGGAATTTCATCGTTAATTCTGGTGTGAATCAAGGGAACCTACCCCGCAGGAAGCTAAGACCCTTCTCAGAGAGGGTGCGGGAAATGGAATGTCCGATTTCATTTCTTGGTTCAAACAGAAGGTACAGTCTAATTTAGCTCATACTTAGTTTGACATTACAAGTTGCTCGTACATGCGAATAATATAACGAACCACCCTGCTTGAACTTGCAGGGCCAAACTGATGCGTCTATGAGTGCCGAGTTGAGACAGGTTGCCGATGACTATGCCTATAGGGTCAGGTCATTTACTGGTTATGACGTAAATGTCTATCGCTTTCACACAAGCCACGAGCAGAGTTGGCCCAATCAAAGAACCATAAATACCAGAGTTTTTACGCCAGGCTTTGATGAGGTCGAGTACTATGGAAGAATTGAAGAAATATACGAACTCATGTTTCATGGTTGCAAACCTCTTAATCTAGTCATATTCAAATGCCATTGGTTTGATCCATTAGTAGTGAGACAGACCCCTAATCTTGGGCTAGTCGAAATTCAACAATCATCCGTCTTACCAGGAGACGATGTCTATATTGTGGCTCAACAGGCCATGCAAGTTTATTATCTCTCATATCCGTGCAAAACCAACGACTGTCTTAAGGGTTGGGATGTTGTGTACAAGGTATCGCCACATGGTAAACTACCTGTACCAAACAATGAAGATTACAACATAGACCCCAACACATATGACGGAGAGTTCTTCCAAGAAGATAGGCTCGAAGGGAGTTTTGAGATAGACTTAACCGAAGCGATCGGAATGATAGTAGACAATGAAAGGGTTGCTGACAAGGACGCTGGAGACGAGGTTCAGAATGTGAAGGACTTAGAATTACTTCAGCGATTACATTTAGGCAATGACAGTGATGATGACATTCCCGATCATGATGATTATATCGACACTCGTGATAGTGATGATGAGACTTATGATCTAGCTAATCCTGATCATAATGATTATTTCTAATACATGTATGAGCCATACTAATTTATTTATTATTTGTCATATCTTTCTAAGTATGTTTTGTTTATCTGTGCTGATTGGTTTACTCTTTTTAATTGCAGGTGATTGAACAATGGTTGGCTATACGAGGAAGATCGCGACGCTTTATGGAAAGATTGGAGCTTCAGGGTCAGCTTTAGGGAAAGGTTAAGGGAGGGGTCAAGGCAGGGGTGGAGGGAAGGGTAAAGGGAAGGGTAAAGGGGTGAGGCCCCCATCGCCTGTAGCTCCCTCGTCGTCGTCTGAGGAGGAGGTACCTTCCGTGCACGCCTCTGGTGACGAGGAGGAGGTACCTTCCGCGCACGCCTCTGGTGATGAGGAGGAGGTATAGGAGGAGCAGGAGCAGGTGGAGGAGGAGGCAGTTGGTTCCCAGGTCTGGTTACGAGGTCCCGTGACCCTCCCGAGGTGACCGATACCTCTTGAGAGACGCCCGATGATTCGACCCTTTGGGAAAAAGTAAGTATCTTTAGATGTTCTCAATAATTTTTCGTTTGATATGTTGAAAATTACAATGAAAAGTAATAATTTATCTTAATCACTTGGGTAGGGGTTGGATTAAGGTTAGTGGGGGTGATCACAACCGCAAGGTCAACGGCATCCTTGGCCTTTTGTGCAGGCTACACTTCCCTGGCTTAGTGCAGTTCGGCGAAGAGCTGCAGCCGGCCTAAACGTGGGACCACTACGTCACCTCCCTCGATGCCGCTGATCATGACGATAGGGTATTCCCCAACAAGGCGGAGCGGGTGAAGGGCGAGCTGTGGGTAAGTATTCCTCGCACTACATTGCTCAATACATCACATTCACTGGACATTCTTGAAGTAATGACTGTATACATCGCGTCTATATGCAGGACTTCTACAAATGCCAGGAGGGGTATGAGGCCAAGGTGGCCTCTATCTCTGAAGAAGCCACCAAGAAGCTCGTGAAGGACATGCACTATGAGGTGCGCGTCCAGGCCATCATCGACTACTATGCTCAACACAGAGGGATGAAGGTTAAAAAAGAAAAGGCGAGAACAATGAACCTGACCCGGGAACAATTCTTGAAAGTAAATATAGAACATTAATACTTACTTTTTTGAGATTAATTACGCTTAATTTCATTTTTTCATGTCATACACTTGATGACGTAGGTGCCTCCGTACTGGTGTGTCTAGCATACCTAGTGCTGGGAATACATGGTGGACAAGTGGTTGGAGCCTGGGTGGGTGGAGACACACAACGCTTGCCAGGACCGGCGTTTGCTGATGCCACGTGCATCACACCATCAAGGCAGCCTGAGCCTCGACGAATATAGGAAAAAATGGGTACGTGAATTCATTTCTTTATTCTAACGCTCAATTCTGCATAATTTCTAATTATTTTGCATTTTTGCCGCAGTCGTCGTCACATGATGGCCAGCCTTGCTCCCAGTTCAAGGCATGGGTTCTGTCCAAAAAGGGCAAGGCGACAGCAAACATCAGCTTCAACACAGAGGACCCGCCCGAGGCGTACAGCGATCCCAGCATCCATAGCCGCGTAAGTGAGTACACAACAATGGCAAGGTAAGTTCATGGGCCACAGTTCGATCCGAGCACCCAGGATCTTGATGGAGAAATCGTGATGAGGGTGGGAGGAGGCAAGATGCCTGGCCGGTATTGGATTGGCGGTAGTACAATCAACACGGCCTCTACTCCCACTCTCTCCTAGATCCGAGCAAGGAGCACGAGCGCAAGCCCGGCGATACGCCTATGGCCTACCGCTACACAGTTTCAGATGGAGGCTCTCTAGGTTATTTCTGTTTTATTCATCGTTCGTTAATTGTTACGTACTTTAGATTTGCATTGTAACATTGGGGTGAAATGTTATAGGCCCGGGTGAAAGCAGAAACGAAGCAACGGGAGGAGATAGAGGCGAGGATGGAGCAGATGATTCAGCAGAGGGTGGCGGCCGAGCGACAGAACATGGAAGAAGAACAACGACAGACGATGTAGAGGATAGAGGAAGAAAATCGGTTGAAGATAGACCAAATATTCCAATACATGCAGAATTTTGCATCGAGTATGGGTCAAGCTTTGCCACCGCCACTGGTGCTATTCCCTCCACCTCAGCCACCCACAATTACTCCTGTGAGTCACTTGACACCTTATACTGCAGATTGAATACTTTGACTTAGAGAACTTTAGATGTTAGCTCAAAATGACTTAGAAAACTTTAGAGTACATAGGCAACCAGTGAGATAGAGACAGAGAATATGCAAGGTTAAGATAAGCATCTCGTGGAAAAGGGAAAAGGGCACGGTCAGTGGCGGATCCAGAAACGGACCAAGGGGGGGGGCTAAACAACATAGGCCAAAAAAAATTTGCTCGCTGGACACAGTACACTAATAAGCATAGAATTAGATAATTGATTCAAAGTGCTCAAAGTCAAAGATACATAGAATTATGATAATAAGCATAGAAAAGTACCAAATACAAGGAGTCTTCCATCTTCAAGAATTCACACCACTTGAACCGCCACGCTCAATGCTACATAATTTTTAAATGTCAAACACTTCTTCAATAACCAAGATAACAAATACAAAGAAAAGCTCTAAAACAATACGCACCTTGGGACCTTAGGTGGCAAGTTTATCTTACGGTTTCTTAAGCCTTGAAAGCGCTTTAAAATTTTATCATCTTCAATGGATGCAAACAAATCCCGCTCAATATAGCATATCATGCTATTATTCATCCAATCATCATTCATTTTATTCCTCCTATCGGTCTTGATAATATTCATAGCAGAGAAGGCTCTTTCAACTGTTGCTGTTACCACGGGCAATATCAATGCAAGCTCAATGAGGCGATACACCAAAGGAAAATATGTATGTCTATCAGTTTTAACCATCTTCTCAGCAAGGCCACCAAGATCAATACAAGAGCAAAATTCTTCATCATGTTTGACTTCATCCATGAAATTTTCAAGATCAATTCTTAGCTTTTCACATTCATAATCACTAAAGTCAGCATAATAAATCTTAGCAAGCTCAACTAATTTCTCTATCTCAAAGTTGGCAAACTCATTTGTCGGATCAAGACAAGCAACACATCTCAATAGTTGAGTTGATCTTTCTGGAAATCGATTGTTCAACTCACAAATTATTTGATCAAGGACAACATTGAAAATCCCATGATGAATATGATGGTAGTAGGTCACATATTTGGCTCCACGACATTTTGAACGACCTCTCATTGGTATCATATCTTCCATATTAGGAATGTCTATATTGTGTTTGGCAGCAAAGGCTTTTGTCTTCTCTAAAAGATCATCCCAACCATTTTCCCTCATGGCATTTATATTTCTCATCACAGAACCAATCAATCCTATTGCACGAACAATGTTTTGATTTTTCTTTTGCAAACATTGTGATAGGTCTTGAGTTATCCCCAATACTCTAATCATCAGATGCAATATGAACATAAATTGAAATGACTCCATTTTTTCTATCAATCCAGATGCTATAGTTTTTTCCCCATCAGTACCATCATCACTAATATTCTCTAACACCTCAAGCACAGGTTCCCACATGAGCATAAGACGTACTAATGTTTTGTGATGTGTACCCCATCGTGTATCACCAGGCCTAGCAAGACTAGTTTCTTGGTTTTTCCCTCTCCCAGGAGTTATTTCACCACTATCTAATTGCTGAACAAGAGTATCATGGTGTTTTTGGAGAAGTTGATCTTTTCTCTTGCAAGAAGCACTAACAGTATTGACAACTGAAGTGACATAATTGAAGAAATCATCAGTTGAAGCATAACATCTGGCTACAGCAACTACCACAAGATGCAATTGATGAGCAAAATAGTGGATGTAAAAAGCAAAAGGGTTTTCATTCAATACCAGCCTTTGTAACCCATGAAACTGCCCTCTCATGTTTGAAGCTCCATCGTATCCCTGTCCTCTAACCTTGGCTATAGATAACCCGTATCTTGCAAGCATAGAAACCAATGCTTCCTTCAGTGAAGATGATGTGGTGTCAGAAACATGTTGTAGGCCAAGGAACCTCTCAATCACACTTCCTTTATCATTGACAAACCTATAAAACAAAAGGAAACATAGTGTTAATTGGAAGCCACAAAACAAAAGAAATGAAATACACGAATAGATGATATATACCTCACAACCACGGCCATTTGTTCCTTAATTGATGCATCACGAGCCTCATCAACAAGCACCGTAAACCAACGATCTCCAATTTCACTCTTAATTAATTCACTTGTCTCCTCTGCACAAGCCCTTACCAAATCTTTTTGAATTGTTGGACAATTCATTTGATTATTCCCTGGAGCATTCTCAGCTATCACAAGTGCAGCCTTAGGATCCTTCTTTCTATACCAATCAAGCATCTCCAAAAAGTTTCCTTTATTTTTAGATGTTTTAGACTCATCATGCCCACGAAATGCTAGAGCTTGCAAAAGAAGAAATCTAGCAATGCCTAACATTATAGTTAAACGAGCTTTATATGCCTCCTCTTCTGCTGCAGTTGTTACTGCCCACACATGTTCTACACTTTGCCTTTAATTTTTGAAATCATTTGCTCGTTTTCTTGCTGCACTATGGTAGCCATTAATTTATTGAGCATGCTTTAGCAAAGAAGCATTTCCCTTTTTCCAATTTTTGAACCCTACTCTAGTGAATGTCTCATTATCAACAAAATTGCTTGCTGGTGGTGGCTTAAAGAGGTAGCAATAAAAGCAATAGGCTGCATCCTTGGCAGGACTGTACTCTAACCAATCAAATTGAGTAAACCATGATTTAACAAAACCTCTAGTTTGAGTTTTACCCGTTGTTCTTTCATACTCACAATTTGGTTGATATGGACTCATCTGTAAATATGCTCTCCTAGCATCATCCCTAATATCATGGTGGAATTCATCAATTGGCTTTCTAAGACCTGGATCAGCAACTATATCATTCATATCAAGCTCAATGTGGGGTCTTTTTTGCACAACCCGACTCTCTTGAGTAGAAGTAGAAGCATCTTTCTTAGCAAAATTTTTTTTCACTCTACAACTACAAAGTAAAACCAATCGGATCACTGACTGAAAAAAATAAAAGAGGAATTAAAGAGGGCAGAGCCGCACAGAGGGGATCAGTTCTCACTTCTCAACTTGCTCAGTTAGCTTTGTCACAGGACACAGCCACCACTGGGCTGGCGGTTAGTTGACTGACTGCTGGCAAGCGCGCCTTGACGCCTGACCCCAAATCCTCCCTGGCTGCTCTGGCTGCTGACACCGGGCTCCCGGCCGGCCGGCTGGGCGGTGTGTCCGCCTCATTGTCGCTGGGCGCTGGGCCGTTGGCCGATGCGCGGAGCAGAGGGGGCGGGAGGGGGGCGAGGGCGCAGGGGGGGGGGAGGGCGAGGAGGGGCGCGCGCGCAAGAAAGCAGCGAGCCGCGAGCCTGCGAGGAGGAGGCGCGGGCGGGGCGGCGGGCGCGATGCGCGCCGCGCGACGCAGACGAGGAGAAGAAGTAAGAAGCGGCTGCAAGCGTCAATGCGTCTGGCCGACCGCCGTGACGGACTCCGTGAGGCCGTCTGCTGTGCGCCTCTGCTGGCCGTGAGTTTTGGGCTGGGCTAAAGCCTGTTAAAATTTTTTTGCAGCCCACGGGGGGCTGCAACCCCCCCCCAGCCCCCCCGTACGTCCGCCAATGGGCACGGTGGTGGCTAGTGCAACTACAAAGCAGCGTCATCGCTTGCGCTGCTGCCGAGTTTGTCGCCTTCGCTGCTGAAAGCACGTGGCCTCGCGCCATTGATTAGCTAAATCTCGCACTAGATTAGATTGTTTGGGTTTCAGATCCTAGTGTAGTACTCCTATTGGTGCTTCTGAAATCTTGTTTAGTATTGGAATTTTCGTCCGTACAAGATCCTAGTGCAGCACTCTTGTTGGTAGTTCTGGATCTAGTGCAGTACTGTTGTTCAGTTCTTCCCAATTTCTTTCATGCCACTGAGTCTGAGCTTTTAAAGTATTCACTTCTGAATGTTCTACAGCCAAGGTGCAGCTGTACTCTTCTGGTAGGCAGCTTTTGCCGCTCTTTTTAGTGTGTTGTTTCCTGAATTACTTCTCTTTGTTGCTCCTTTCATTACAATTTCAGTTTGAGCTGCATCTAGTGAGAGCTCAACCTGAATTACCTTTTCTTTTCTCCAGGAATGCCGATCAGTTTGTAATATGAAATTGCTATGTAGTGCTTGAGTGAATGCTATCATTTTTAAGTGTGAAAGCCATCCCTTTTCCACGAGATGACTTAGAGAACTTTAGAGTACATAGGCAATGCAGTATTATTTGACTGGTTTCAGAAATTCAGATGATAGATGAGTTCTGTGCATCAATCAACAATTTGCCATCTTAAATCCAAATGTAATCTCTGTTGCAGTTTCAGACTGCTTGCCTCAGATATGCACCTGGCCACATCCATCATCAGTAAGCTGTGATAGCTCTGTACAAATGTTAGGAGCAGACTTTCATTAAAAAAAACTGTTATGAGCTGACTGTTAGTTTCTGTAGCCTGCCACAAGCCCAGAATTTTATAATAGTAATAACACAGACTTCAATGGCCTGCTCGCTGCTACTGTGCATGGCCTGCACTCCCATTGGCATGGCCCTGCCAGCTCCAGCTTCTAACTCTAAGCCCCCCACTGCATGGCTTAAACTAATACTAATAGGTAAGATATACTAAGTGAACATGCATGAGTCAGATTGCAGTGAGTTTTTTATTAGTACTATATATACTTACGTGTTATACTTTCTGATTACAGTGAGTTTTTTTATATCTACAGCTTACACATGCAATCTCTTCTCTTTTGTGCAGAATCAATCGACGGCATCAAATAATCAGTCTCAAGACCCGGATTTGTCGCAGTGGTTCCAAGGGCCTCGCAGTGATTGCATTTGCATTTGTGGTTTATTGTGACTTAGTTGTGACTTGTGATGATGGTTTATTGTGAATTGTGATGATGGTTTATAATGCCTGTGATATATAATTATGCATGTGATGATGCTTTATTGTGAATTGTGATGGTTTATTGTGAATTAAGAGGGGTCCGTTATACGGGACAGATTAGTAAAAAAGGGGGTATTGGTCGCTTTGCCGAGTGTAACACTCGGTAAAGCGAGGCGTTACCGAGTGTCAAGCCAAAACACTCGGCGAAGAGACTAATTTTTGTTATTCTGGGAACCTTTTTTGCCGAGTGTTTTGTCTTTGCCGAGTGTATTCTATTGGACACTTGGCAAAGTGACCATAAAATCTACCCGTTGCGCGCTTATTTGCCGAGTGTATTGGGCGTGACACTCGGCAAAGTGTGTAAACTTTGCCGAGTGCTTTGGTCTTGACACTCGGCAAACTTTAGAAACGTTACCGAGTGCTTTGGTCTTGACACTCGGCAAACTTTAGAAACGTTACCGAGTGTTTTGGAATTGACACTCGGCAAAGTTTAGAAACTTTGCCGAGTGTAAACTTTGCCGAGTGTTTTGGGCTTGACACTTGGCAAATTTGAGAAACTTTGCCGAGTGTTTTTCCGTCGTGCACTCGGCAAAATCGCCATCACCGTGCCATCCCGTTAACATTTTTTTGCCGAGAGTTTCTATTTGCCGAGTGTTTATTGACACTCGCACGATAAAAAACACTCGGCAAACTACTGTTTACCGACACTGTTGATGCCGTGTGTTGTATGCCGAGTGTTACACTCGGCAAAACAGTTGCCTAGTGTTTTTGGGGGCACTCGGCAAAGCTACTGTATCCCGTAGTGTAAGTGGGTGTATGGTTTGAGAAACAATCTCATTTTAGATGAGGTATTGTATCATGAGAATTCATAGGTTGAATTTTGACGGAATCGACGTATTACTCGTACCTATAGTAAGAGCTTGTTTGATACCAAGTCACCTAAACTTTAGTCCTAGTTATCCAAATAGGTGAATTAAAAGTGAACTAATTTTTAGTTCCCAACCCACTAGCCATTAGTTCATTAGTTGGCAAATGTGGACTAAAAGGTGCACATGAGTATGTCTAGGAAAGCTTTTTTACTTTCTGTTTACTTTTATTCTATGTATCCAAGTAGCACTAGACTAAAAATGGTCCTCCTACCTAAACTTTAGCTCTAGGTGATCCAAATAAGGTCTAATTACATTAGTTTGTGAAAGATGAGATGATGATGAATTAACCCATACCATTTCATAAACTAAAAAAAGGAGTAAGAAGATATCATGGACAAATAAATTCTTGAAACCAAACACCCCTAAGCAATGAAAAGCTCCCTCTTGATCTCCTACAACTAAAAATAACAAAGTGTGAACATTTTTTGGTGCGATATTTGATTTGGTTCGTCCGTCTGCCCACGCCTGCGATCCCATGACATCTTAATTACCGATTGATCGTGTCATTCTCCTTGATTGAATATTGTCTGTCATGTGATAGAGGAATCACGGCAAAATAGGAAGTAGAAAATTATTGTGCTATCCATATACACATTGCATGTTTGCATGCATCACCATACATGGCAACGAGCAAAAGGAAAGAGAATTAACACAGAAGGAAAGAGAATTAAGACAAAAGGAACCTCTTTGCATTTCTGGGAATCTTGCCAAATCTGCCTACATTTGCAAAAGGGACAGGTTTTTCCTCCTTTGATTTGGTTTCACGCTCACGTGTTCCATCGCCCTCGCTTGCTATTTCTTGCGTGAACCATAATTAATGTCATCTATCTTCCATGGCTCAGCCTCCCAATCCCAAGAGAAGGTCCCTACCTCTCCCTGACTGGAGATCCAGCCTGTCAGAGGATCTCCTGGAGTCCATCGGACAGCGTCTCGCCTCAGGCCACAACGCGGCGTCCTTCCGATCCGCTTGCTCCCCATGGCGCGCCGCCGTCCCGTTCGCGACCTTCGGGCCGCTCCTGCTGCTCCCGTTCGACCCCGACTCGGACTGCGTCGGCTTCTACTGTGTCCCGAAGAAGAAGGTCTTGTCCAAGACGCTGCCCGACGTGCACGGCAAGATGGCGTGCGGCTCCTCATGTGGGTGGGTGGCGCTCATGGACGAGGCGACGTCCGTGACGCTGCTGAATCCATTCGCCGGTGCCCGTGCCCCCTGCGTTGAGCTCCTGCCAGCAGGCGAACACGTCGCGGCGGCGTCCTCATCAGAACACGTGTCTGGGGTCCACGACCGGTGGTTCCTCCATCCCACCAACGGCTACGGGGACGCGGATGCCGCATGCAGAGCCATCAAGCTAGAAGACATGAGGAACATGTTCTTCCGTGAGATCGTGCTCTCGGCGCCGCCTGATGCCGCCGGCCGCGAGTGCGTGGCCATGGCCATGCTTGGGTGCTCCACGGAGGTCGCGTTCTGCCGGGTTGGAGTCGACAGCGCATGGACGCTGCTCGACACCAAACTGGAGTTCTCCATGGGGTCCATCGTCCACTGCCAAGACAAGTTCTTGGTGATCGACTGCACTGAAGAAATCTCCGTCTGTAGCAGCAACGCCGCCGACGCTACTCCAACCGTGATGCTGCTGCCATCGTTGTCGCCACCTGCGGGGCTCTGCCACCGTAGCTTCCTGGAATCAAACGGTGAGCTACACATTGTGGGTGCCATGGTGAGCACGTTTCACGAGACACAGAGCTTCACCTACAGCAGCGTGATCTACAAGTGTAACCTCCACGACCGTACGTCGGAGTGGTCCAAGGTGAGGGACATCGGTGATCAGACACTGTTAGTGTCTAAACATTTCAATAAAAGCTTCAGTGGAACAAGTATATCCAAGTACAAGGAGAACAAAATCTACATGTCTGAGCCATTGTATGGGGATCCATACAACTTGGTTCATCGACTGGAGATCGTTGATATTGCTACCGGCGTATCCGAAGTGAAGCCCGTCCAGGAAAAGATGCAGTGTTCCGAGGCTCTAGGTTGGATTCGACCCAATCTCTGGAAGCTCTAGAGTTTGTGAGCTTGCGACGCCACGCACTCCGTGACTGTGTTAAATTCATAAACTTTACTTTTTGGATTAAATATCACTTTAACATTGGTGTTTAATTTAACAGTATTATTATCTTATCGTGCGATCCGTGTGTTTTTAGTATAAATTGTTAGTTATCCCGTAACAACGCATGAACACGCTACCTAGTCTATGTATAAAAGAAAAAAGTGACCGTGTCGTGAGGGCAAGATACTTGGGCAAGATACTTTGATATTATATGTGTGTATATATATATTACAGAAAGAAATCGACCTGCTTGTACTAAGATGGTCTGATTCCTCTTCCAAGAGGATGAAGCCAGATTTATTCCATTATCTTAAAAAAAGGAAAGAAATCGACATAGGATGTACTCGTTGATTCTAAATTATAAGATGTTTTGTCTTTTTTAGAAACATAGATATACACTACGTGGAGATACATATTTAAGGAAATGTATCTAAAAAAGATGAAATACTTTATAGTTTGGTACGGGAGGGAGTAAAACCTTAGCGTAGCTTTGAAAGTTTGAATTTGCAGCGTTCATACATGTCCTTTCACGGCTTCACCCTTTAGTATATGATGAATTGATGATGCACATGGAGGTGGATTGGCATACATATTTGCATTGGTTGTAGAAGTGAGGAGTCCGAATCCGAGTTAACCATCCATTTGGTCATAATTTTCTTTGTAACAATGTCCATGTTTGTTTGTCTTATGAGTCATAATATTTCAACGAATGAACGGTATTTTTCTCTCGTGACAAATCAGCGAACGACACTTTTAGCCCCGTCTTTTCAGCAAAGCCAACATGGCCATTAATGTGATCACATTCGCACGGCAAGTTATCAAAAAGCTACTGTATTATATTATATGGCAGCACATACTGTAGATTTTTTTAATTAATGATGAATTCTGCTCTGCTAACAAGCTTACTCGGATGCGGTACTGTTGACGTAATTCAGCTGGTGGTCAGTCAATCCGACTCCTGCAGGCCAGCGAGCACGACGGAGCCCACGAACAGCCCGGCGGCTCCGGCCGCGAGCACCGCCGCGACGACGGCCTGTACTGCGACGAGCGCGACGGAGTCGTCGGGCACGACGACCACCGCAACGACGGCGGCCACGAGGAGCGGCAGCGAGATGGAGGCGAGGACGGAGGGGGACGTCCCCGCGGCGGTCTCGACGAGGCTGAGCAGGCCCAGGTCCTCGGCCTTGGAGAGCAGGCCCAGCTGCTCCAGCGAGGAGAGCGTCACGCCCAGCTCCTCGGCCTTGGACAGCAGGCCGGCCTTCTCCACGGTGCTCAGCACCTTGCGCCGCTCCAGCTTCTTGAACACGTCCACTGACACCTCCTCGCTGCCCTCCGCGAAGATGCCCGCGCCGAACCACTGCTTCGACCAGTTCTCGTCGTAGCGGTTCACCTGCACGACGACGAACACGCGCATGCATGCTGTTTCTAATTTTTGTTCTTGGCAAAGAACAGAGTCGAGTCCAACTAGTACCTTCTTCTTGGGCGCCATGGCCGTGACCTTGAAGCGCCTTCTGCTTGTGGAGGGCAGGAGGCCAGCAGGCTGAGACAGGCGAGACGAAGAGCAGCAGCCCGAGATCGCTGCAGGTATTGCAGCCATTATTTCTTCCTGCTCCTCTTCTTGCCTGATGCAACAATGTAATTTGGCGCAGCCTTGGCCTTGCCTTATTTCACCAGCTCCGCTTCTTGGGATTCTCCTCAGTTTCGCTGTCTGCAGGAATCGATGAAATCTGAATGTGACCACTGGTTGAGGGGCTTATCTTTGGGCTGGACCCACGGGCGCATGGAGAGTCACGTATATGTCGCTTGTCGCGTCGATGTTCCCTACCGTTACCGGCCTACTCGCAGGCCACAGAATACACCAACACAACCACAGCCAACCACATGGCCCCTTGCGCTGCCCTTGCGCAGGCACGCTGAGGGTGCCCCCAACGTGACACCGTGGATAGTGGCTTCAACGCTGAATGTGATTAGTAGTATTGGTGGCTCCGCGGGTTGTCATAGGATCTTGGAAAAAAACTCAGTGCCTCGTCTGACAAAAGCCTACCCGTTGGAGCTTGACGAGAGCTTCTGTTACGTGCTTTTTCGTTTAGGGCAGAAGCAACGCAAGCGGTCAAGACTATATGCCCCAGCTAAAAGGTACATGGCCAAGTAGGCAGCATCAACGAGGCTACACATCTCTCATCGCAGCCTAGTGTTTCTCCATGAAAAGCAGCTTTAGCTTATCTCAGAGTTCTGTACAGGTTTCACCCTCAAATCATGAAAGCGCGTGATGAAGATGCCAGCAACGACCTTGCTCACAACACGAATTGAAAGAGTGCCTCAATCTTTTGTCAGTTGAAGCACCTGCTACTTCTGCAAGCTAATATGGATACCTACGAAACTACTAGACGGTATGATATGGAGCCTTTATGCCGACGTGCCAGCATGTAGTGTTGGGGGTGCTCTTAGACCACACCCTCGTGCTAAAAGCCCTAATTTGATTTTAGATAATTGATGAAACCTATTTGATTAACTCTATGCTTTAAGTGTGGATATAAGATAGGTTGGTCCAACCCAAGTGGTAGAGCTAAGTGGCACTCATGGGTGGAGATGGCCACATCAAATGAAATCCAAGGTGGCCGGTGGTGTGGACATGTGATGAAGATCAACCTCCGAACTTGAAAAAGAAGAAAGAGAAAAATAAAATGGGCTCAAGGCAAAGGTATATATGATAGGTTCATTTTGCTTTGGTGACCAAGACACTATAGAGAGTTTGATCACATTTAGGATAGATGGTCGTACTATTAAGAGGGGAGCTCTTATCGAATAACTCGATCATCTAGTGCCACTAAGTGTTGGATTACTTGCATTTGCATTTAAGACCTAGTGTACATTTGGTGAGAAGTGATTAATCTTTGGAAAATAAATGTGAAAATGCTAACACACTTACACGTGATGGTGAAACACTTGGGGTTATTAGCACATTTACAAAGGAATCAAAGGAAGTGAAGAAGGGGATGAGGTGCTGTCTCTAGGGGCATCGTCACCCTTGTTCGGTGCACCCCCACCCATAGGGGTGATTGATTGGCCTCAACCAAGGAGCTGGTGTTGGTATTGGCACCGCCAGTGACGGTGTACACCGCCCCAGGCACGACGGTGCACCACCGAGGGCACCGCCACCCTGTCCGGTGCCACAGCCGTATTTCAATAGAGAGTGGGGGAAACCAAGATGGGCACCACCATGGCCACCGCCACCCCTTGATGGTGCACCACCCTAATTATCCAGAGAGGAGGGAAAACGGGGAGTTGGCGGGGTGGCATCGTCGTACCCTATCCGGTGCCACCGCCGCCTGTCCGGTGCCCACTAGCTATTGGATGACCGTTGGAGGGGCATCGCCACCCCCTGTCTGGTGGCGCACCACCGTGTCTGGTGCCCCCGCACAGAAATTGCTCCAAAGGGCCAGGGTGACGGCTATATTTGCTTGTGGGCTTCTAAATAGAGGTGGTGGCCGGCCTTGGCCACCCTCTTGTCACTTTCCACACCTATGTACACCTTTTGGGAGCTGAGAAAACTCAATCCACTCACTTGCACACTTGATTTCATCTTTTGATTGAGATTGGAGAGCTTCTAGTGCATTGCTTAGTGATCTTGCATCTTATGGCACTAGTTAGGCGATTTGGGTTAGTGGAGATCTTGTTACTCTTGGTGTTTTTCGACACCTAGATGGCCCGACGATTGGTGGATTGTCTAGCGGAGGAAGGTGATTGTCTTAGGCTTCGATCGTGGTAATTGTGAGGTGTTCTTGACCTTTCTTCGGCGGAGAGCCAAAAGGTACTCTAGTGTATTGCTCGTAGCTTGTGGATCCTCATCTTGTGTTGGTTGTGCGTCACTTGATTGCAGGTTAGGCGTGTGATGCCAATTAGCACGTGAACCTCCAAGTGGGTGAATCGCTACAACGAGGACGTTGCTTGTCGGCAAGCAAGTGAACGTCGGAGATAAATCATTGTGTCATATTGTCTGTGGGATTCTCATTGTGATTGATTGTATATCCCTTGCCACATCGGTATAAACATCACTACCTCTCTTGTATTTACTTTCCAAGTGTAGCTAAGCTCTTTGGTGTAGTTAGTTTTGAGAGCTAGCTTCTGTCTTGTTAGTTTGGTTAGTGAGGCTCTTTAATTAGTTAGTCTTTAAGATCTCACTAACTTAGAGAGTAGTGACTTAGCCTCTTGTATGGATTAGAGATCATAGATAACTAGAATTATAGATAGGTGGCTTGCATTTTTAGTAGGCTAGCATAACACTCGCTTCGTTTCATAATTGTCTAACCTTTTGGCTTAGTGTTGTTGTAGATTTTTTAATAGGCTATTTAACCCCCTCTAGCCATTAGGACTTTTCTAGTGGTATCAGAGCCATGGTCACCATGATTTGAGGCTTAACAACCTTCGATGTCAAAATGACTCAAATCAACAACACTAAGAAGCCACCCCAATTTAATGGCTCAAATTATCCATATTGAAAGGCAAAGATGACCACTTATATCAAGTCAATCAATAGAATGGTGTGGAAGGTGGTGGAGACCAAGATTAAGATAGCCGATCCGGAGACTCCCACCACGGCTGAAGAAGTGCTACTCCAAAATAATGACATTGCTCTTAATGCCATTCATGATGCTTTGGATGAGAGAATATTTGAGCAAATCAAGGATATTGAGATGGCTCATGAGGCATGGAAGAAGTTGGAGGAATCTTTTAAGCGCATTCAAGTGGTGAAGGGTGCAAAGACATACATTCTCAAGGAAAAGTGTGTAAGTTTCAAGATGAAGGATGATGAGAGTGTGCCAGAGATGTTCCATAGGCTACAAGTGCTTATCAATGATCTCAAAGCACTTGGAGAAGAGGTGAAGGATAAGGACTTCTCCCATAAGTTCTTGAGATGCTTACCATCAAGATTTGGCACATTGGTCACTATTCTAGTGAGAAGTGGTTTGGACACCATGACATCAAATCAAGTGTTGGGAGATATGATGACCGATGACACATATAGAGATGATGATGAGAAGGAAAAGAAGAAGAATGACAAGAAGTATGAGAAGAAGAAGAGTGTGACATTCAAGGCCACATCATCCAAGGACAAGGCAAAACAAGAAACATCAAGTAAAGATGAAGATTCAAGCTTTGATGAAGTTGATGATGAGAAGGTGGCTCTCTTTATGAAGAGATTTGGCAAATTCATGATGAAGAAGGGTTATCGTGCAAGAAGAAAGGAGTCATCATCAAGGAACAAGGATGAATCAAGGAGGTGCTTAAAGTGTGGTAGCAAGGATCACCTTGTTGCTCAGTGCCCCTACAATAGTGAAAATAAAGATGATGATAAGAAGAGCAAGAAGAAGGACAAGAAGGAGGAGAAGAAGAAAGACAAGATGACCTTCAAGAAGAAGAATGATGGTTCATATATGGTCACTTGGGATAGTGATGCTTTCTCAAGTGATGATGATGATAATGATGATGACAAGACCGCCAAGCATTACTATCAATGAGAAGCCTTCTCTCTTCGACACTCCAACTTGCTTCATGGATAAGGCCACTAAGGTACAATCTCATGATGATAGATGTGAAAATTAAAGTGATAGTGATGATGATGATGATGAATCAATTAAAGATGAACTAATTGACATGCTAGAGGATGCTAAGACTCACTTTAGCATCAAGAGAAGGGAATAAAAAGACTTGCGTAAGGAACTAAAGGCCTTGAAGCAAGCCTTTGATGAGCTCAATGCTACTCATGAGAGTCTAAAGGAAAACCATGAGGAGCTTGGCAAGGCTCACAAGAAACTTGAAAAGGATCATTCCACTCTTGTTGAGCAAAATGAGAAAGTAATTGTAACATGTGATGTAGGCTTAACATGTGACAAAATTGATGAATCTTTCTATAAGCCTATTGTTGTTGCTCCCGCTAACCCTTCTTGTAGCTCATCATCCACTACTACTTCACCTATGAGTTATGGTTTCACTTGTGATGCCTCACTTATGGTTGAGAATGAGACCTTAAAGAAGGGGGTCAATGAGCTCACTCGTGCCTTAGGCAATGCCTATGGTGGTGAGCCCCGCTTGCTAAAGTGCTTGGGTAGCCAAAGGTTTTCTCTCAACAAAGAGGGATTAGGCTATACCCCTAAGAAAGGCAAGATGGCCTTTGCTCCTCACAAGACTAGTTTTGTGAAGAATAATGATCGGTTGGCAATAGATGCAAGCAAGTTGGGCATGTAGAGCAATATTACAAGAACAAGAACACTAATGTATCCTCAATTAAGTTTGATTCTTGTTATTTACTTACCAAGTTTGTGAATAGAGTGAAGATTGTTGGTACACCAATTGTGGGCTCAAAGAAGAAAGCCATTTGGGTGTCAAAAAGCTTAGCCACTAAACTTCAAGGACCCAAGCAAGTTTGGGTATCTAAAAGGAATTGATCTTCTTTTGTAGGTCAATTACAAAGCCAGAGGAAGCCATTGG